GCACAATGCTCCGCTCGCACAAGAATTCCCGGTTCTCGCGTCTCTGTGCCCTTTTTCGCGTTTCTACGCTGCGCTACACTGTCACACCTCCATCTGCACGAGACTCGGCTACTCAATTTCCACCGCGCGATACACGCCTGCTCACATTTCCGCCGCGTGATACATGCCGCTCGCATTTCCGCTGCACGCTCACCGTTTCCCGCACGCCCATGCCGCTCGCATTTCCGCTGTGCGCTCGCCGTTTCCCATACGCCCGCTCGCATTTCCGCTGCGCACTCGCCGTCCCTGCACACCCACTCGCTGTTCGCACGCGCACGCCCGCTCGCCGTTTCCTGGTTTCCCACACACCGCTCGCTGTTCGCACGCCCACGCGCTCGCCATTTCCCGCACGCCCGCTTGCTGTTCCCCACACGCTCACGCCCGCTCATCGTCTCCCGCACAATCACGCCGTTTCCTGCGCGCCCGCTTGCTGCCTCGCGCTTCCTCCTCCGCCTCGCGCTTCCCTCCGCCTCGCACTTCCCTCCGCCTCGCGCTCCCTCCGCCTCCGCTCCCTTCCACCTCGTGCTCCCCTCTGCCTCGCGCTCCCCTCCGCCTCGCCTCACCTCCGCCTCGCCTCGCCTCGCCGGCGAAGCCGAGCCAGGCGCCGAATGCGATAAAAACTGGTTATAGGATGAGTAGGGTATGGATATGGAGCTCGAAGAATGGCTGTAAAGGAGGAGTAGGACAACCAAGTCAAGAATAGTATCAATATGACGAGGAGACGAACTCTGTCCAGGAGGAATAGGCCAACCAAGTCAAGAATGGTATCAATATGATGAGGAGACGAACTCCGTCCAGGAGGAATAGGCCAACCAAGTCAAGAATGGTATCAATATGACGAGGAGACGAACTCCGTCCAGGAGGAATAGGCCAACCAAGTCAAGAATGGTATCAATATGACGAGGAGATGAACTCCGTCAAGGAGGAGTAGGACAACCAAGTCAAGAATGGTATCAATATGACGAGGAGACGAACTCCGTCAAGAAGGAGTAGGACAACCAAGTCAAGAATGGTACCGATATGATGAAGAGATGAATTCCGACAAGGAGGAATGGGTGAAACAGAGCAAGAACGACACCAACGCAACAAGGGGACGAATTCCGCAGTGAAAGAATTCAACCGACTTGAGAACTGCGCTGTAAAATGGTCTCTGCGCTGGAAAGGAGATATCCAACTCGAGGAAAAGTAACAGGACAAAGGAGAAATGGGTTCTATGACACAAGAGGAGCTTGATCAGGCTGATAGCGGTGCTATAGGAGTACCTCCGTCAACGGGCGATTCACCAGCAAAGGAGAGGAGGAAAGCGGACTCCTTCAGGCTGAAAGGGGGTAGGAGCTACCTTGTGGGCTGAAGGCAGTGTCTAGAATGAAGAACGCATGTCGGGACGATGTGCCGGTGGCTGGGCAAAGAGTATAAAAACCTAGTGTATTATTCGAGAATGGCATCTTGTATTTCCCCACCTAAATTCCTAAGGCTTTCACAAGCCAAGAAAGAACTCTTCCTCCGTCTTCAGACACGAGACGGACACCAAACCGAAGTACCACAAGTACAGGTTAAAGCAAGACCCAGAGCGCAAGGAGTGGCCAATCAGTCGCTTCCGGTAGGGAACTCCGACCAGAAAAAGGACCAGGTCGTATAGGAGATCCTGAAAACGATAAAACACCACGTACCGAAAATGGAGTGGTATCAAAACAGCCAGCAACAGAATTTCTGTTAGCGTGTAACTGTTCCGGCCGAGTAGTATCGGAAGGCAAACGGTCCTTGACTTGGGATAATTCGGAGAAATCCAGTCCTCATAGCCATCTACCAACTGACACGGTCACCTTGTCAAGCGAATATCTCGCCTCAAGGTTTAAGCGGAGACATAAAGAAAGGGGTCCCAAAGGAAGGGAATTGTGGAGTTTAGGCTACGACATTCGAAACAGGCCCCGAGGTCCCGCACATTAAACGGAGAAGAAGATCACAACAGAGAAATAAAACCGCAGCCCAGAAAACCCTACCCACTGCACAGAGCAAACACCCGGAGGAAGTAACACAACTCTATCTGCGACTCTTTCCGTCCTCCCTCGATAGGAGCCTGTATAGGATACGCAACCAAGTTATCGGACCCCGGAAGGCTGAAAAGGAACGAACTCTGTATCCCCCAGCGCACTAAGGCTTCTCAGTGCTCCGTGCTGAAAGCCTGTAAAAATAACAGATCCTGCCCACCCATCTAAAGATCTATCCCTTGTAAACTTAACCCATGGTACTTCGGAGGAATAAAAACCACCCGACACTTGCTACACAAATTTCCCCCTAGAGGACAATACCTTTTCTGCAGTACTGTACCCACAGACGTGACATTCGTTTGACAGTCAAGAAACCGCAGTCCGCATCACACCGCCTAAGACTGTAGCATACCGAACTTGCTAAGTCTTCCTTTCCGAAACCGAACCTGCCGTTGAATGACTGTAGCATACCGAACTTGCTAAGTCTTCCTTTCTGAAACTGAACCTGCCATTGAACGACTGTAGCATACCGAACGTGCTAAGTCATTCATTCCTGATTCCGTACTCTGCCGCCACCGTTGCTTGCCAAACCATCGAAGCGTTCCGAAGCAATTTTCCGAGTTTCCCCTTGAAGCGAGTAATTTGTTTATTGCTTATTTCATTTCCCTCTTTTCCTTTTCTACCAAGCACACTTAGTTCAATAGAAACCTCCTTGTAACGTTGAAAAACGATTTGAAGAGAAACATCCTATTAAAGTCACATTCGGTGGACCTCTCGTAAAACAATTTTTACGCTTGGCACTGCTCATGCAGACCATCCCTGCTATGGACAACTTCCTTCGCACTGGTGCTAAACATCGTGGACTTCAAAGTGCTCCTGCTATAGGTCTAGGTGAAGTACATGTCCTCACGGTTTCTACTGGTCTGAATGCCTGTGCTATGATGCCCCAAATTGTCCTGAATTGGGTCAATGTCATTGACCACCTCGCGAAGGCCATGCGAGCACTTCAATGCCTCTACTTGGACAAGCCCACCTTGAGCACTACACTCAAAGGGCCGTCACACATCCCTCGGATCCTCTCATCACTCCCCTTGTCACTCTGCATCAGACTCCCAAAGGAATTCCTGAAATCCTATGGCCTCATGGTCCTACCGCTTCCCACAAATGCTGCAGAATCTATGCCTCAGCAGGTAGCTGAGCACATGCACAAGGAATCACCCTCGTGCAGCCCTGCACATTGCTCCCAGGTCAGATACAACATTGTCAATGCTGGGGAGCTCGCGAAGTTGTGTACAACACAGCCTTCATGCATGATCGAGGCGACGACGGGAACCAATGCAGTAGACCAGCACCACACCGGTCCACGCCCATTGATGGCCGATGTTGTCCATCAATTCGACACCTATCCAACTCCAGAACATTCCCTACTTGCACGGTGTCAAGTGTATTTATGGTTATACAAGAGGTCTGTCGATTGTGTCTTTAAATGAATGTTTCTCTTAAGTTCGTATTTCAACGTTCAAGAGTAATTTATTAAGTTTCAATAGAAAACTTAACACTTCAGTCATACACTTGAAGTACCCCAGTTAGGGTAGTTGCCTCCCCTGGAGATGACTACCCTAACTGGGGTCTACCTTGAGGGGGACACCCAGCTGGCTGGGTGCACCCACCCATCCAGGCTGGGTGTATCCACAGCAATACCGCTGGGTGTGTCCAGCGTGCTGGGTGCATCCAGACGTGTCACGTCACACTCTCCCGTGCGCAGCGCGGGCCGGAAAAATTCGGGTTTTTGGGGCAGTTTGGGCACCTGTTCGCAGGCCTTTTGGACCACTATATAGGAGCTTGAGGGAGGCTATTTTGTAGGGCGTCCCGTGCGCAGCGCGGTCCAGAAAAATTTGCTTTTTTGGGGCGGTTTGGGCACCCGTTCGCCAGCCTTTTGCATGCTCCATACACTCATATTCTTCTACAGGTGCCCGCGCTATGCGCGGGCCGGAAAAATTTGGCTTTTCAGGCCGGTTTGGACACCATTGGCAGGTGTTTAGGGCTTGGACAGCTGTTGCATGCGGCAGAAAAATGCTGTTTTTTTGGCTGTTCTGCACTATTGTAGCATTATATATGTCTAAAGCAAACAATACCTCACGGCTTAGCTGAAAAGACGCTGGCTTTTTCCAGGGTACCAGTAGTGTTCAATTTCTTTCATAATTCACATTTGTTCAATAGAACTTTGCACATGTTTCTCACCAAACCAAACCGTTGAAACACAGACTTCCTATATGTTCTTGCTATTATTATTACCGTCTTGTTTTGTAGACTTAAGCGACATATTTAATACATACTGCCCATTTCTGACTCCGCAATGTGCATGGGCTCACCCATTGTACTGATCTGGATGCACCCAGTTCATGAGCTGGAGCTACCCACATCCTCGCTGGGTGCACCCGCCACCTTTCCAGGGAGCACCCAGGGCGGCAGTGGGTGAACCCCTGCTGTTCTACCTGGGACCGCCTGGGCACACCCTACCTGACTGTGGGTGATCCCATGTCAACCACCATGGGTACACCCGGTAGCCTGGGTGCACCCAGGACTTGCACGGGTGTACCCGCCAGACCTCCAATATCAGCCGGGCGCTCCCAGCTCACTAATGGGTGTACCCATGGTATCTGGGTGCACCCACACAAACCATTTTTTTGTTGTCTACTTCGCGAGTGCCACCTGGCTCCACCATAACATTTCCCTTGTTGTCTGTATGGTGTAGTGGTAACATGCCCCTACTTAAGGAGGTTTCGTGGGTTCGAATCCCACTGCGGACATGCTCCATGATTGGCAATTTTTTATTTATCTTTCTTTTCTTTGTTTCTTTCATATGTCGCTCATTCAATTGATTTTCCTGAAATTTTTTTTTTCACGTTTGTGTCAACAACTACATAACTTAATTGTCCACTCCTAAGTCACATCACAATATGTCTGTTTGTCGTCCACATGGTGTAGTGGTAACACGTCCTTTCAATATGGTTGATCACTCTATAGTTTACAAGGGATGACGTGGGTTCGACTCCCGCTGTGGACTTAATTCTCTCCCCTCTGGATTTTTATTTTTATTTTAAAAATATCTCACGACGACTGAGAACAAAAAACTACGGTTTGGCAGACAAACAGCACCGAACTGTTCTTGCTCTTATTATCCATTGGCGATACTGAATCAAGAAAGTGGGCAAATAAAATTATCTCAATACATGCAGTCCCTTTTTAAACTATAAAATCGGAATGAAAGAAACGTAGTTGTGAAAAGTATCAGCATATGTAAAAACTGGCAAAGACATAAACAAAACAAATCCAACGCAATTTACTCAGTAGTTAAAGAAAATCTCCTCGGCCGCTAAGCTCTCTTTCTTCCTCTCGGCAGCCCGCAGCGCTCGCCGACGCTCATCTCCCGCCGCAGATGACCCAAAGGGCTGGCCGCCTACTGGCATAGACTCCAGCGCTGCGCTACTATGCCACGACGCGCCACTAAATCTACTAAATGACCACGTCAGTTTCAGAACACGGCGGCAACGACGACAAAAACGCACTTTTCGGCGGGCACCACGAGGCCACGGGGCATCTTGAGGTGTTGAGGCAAGTGCGCCATGCAGCGACGGCCGCGTCCAACTTGTCATAGGCGCGGCCATGGATTCGGTCTATATGTGGATGAGGAACGAGCTTCCGTGGCGTCCCTGCGGGGACGCGTCGAATCGGAGCCACTGCAGGCAAAGAAATCAGCCTCCTGGGCGGATAACAAAGGTCCGAGGCGACTTACCAACGTGCAGCGCGCAACCAGAATCCGTCTTCGCCCCTGACACGGCGTCAGCTGGACAGCTGCACGGCTGGCAAGCACAAAAACAAAAGAAAAAGGAAATCAGTAATAGCGATGCCTCCATACAAAACACGACGCACTGGGGCTTCTTTGAAGGCGTCGGCTCCGGTATTGTACGGGTGATAAACCCAGCACGCCTTGCACACCGGAAAAGACCTGACCACCTCGTCTTCGACGATACTATATTCGCCCCAGCCATAGACCTTGACGCGTTGGGCGCACTTCGTGCACCTGTCGGCTCCGTAGTCGCGGTTGTGAGCAGCAACACCGTGTTCGAGTTCCTCGTGCCGCAGAAAGCACATTAAATCGTGAGCGTCCAGAAGCCCGATGTCGTATAAGGTGGGAGCGGCAGACATAGATAGTTGTAAAGGTCAAAGGTTGGGGGGAACGGTTTGCGATAGCGGAGTGGGGAGGCGTTGGAAGCGTCCGTCTCGACTTATATAGTTGCTTGAAAACAATGAGACGCACCAGCTTGTGGACCTGAATTGGCCACCATTCTTCCACTTGCCACCCCATTGTCGCTTATTCCTTTGTACCCCACGTCCATTTCTAACCCGTTCGTATCGAGCTCATCTCATTACGTCCCTAATTAACCACATATGATAAATGAACAAGCATAATTATCATAGGTAACAAGTCCATCGTAAGTTCGTAAATAATAAACTGCGTTATTTAAACAAGTGTTCTACCCATTTATCATAAATGTCCATCTGTCCCTGGTTTACCAACGTGTAGCTCCAATTCGCGGGCAACTTCTCCACCCGTTGTCGACGTCGTTGTATTCCGTGTACCTGTCTGCCGGGTGGGTGCTGCTAGCGCGTCGTTGTCGTTCAAGTGCCCGTAGAATATCGCGCTCTTCTCCGTCCCGCGCTTCAAACGCAGCTGCACCGCTGCAGAGCCTGCTGCGGCCGCTGGCTGCCGTCAGCCCTGACCTCCTGTCGATAGACATCTGCGAGCCGTGCTCGCTCCTCTTCCTCCGTGCTTCGTACATGCAGCTTTTTGGCGGGACGTTCGCGCTGCGCTCGCCGTGGGACGAAGATCCGGCTGCCTGGTCTGCGCGACGAGAGGAGGCTGCAGGGCGCTCTTCATAAGCGGGGCGGGAGAACGATCCCGCTGGCTCTGACCGTTGTCCACGGGCGAGAGGAGGAGCTGCGGGCGTTGTCATGAGCGGGGCGGGGGAGCGATCGCGCTGGCTCTCGACCGTTGTCCGCGCGACGAGAGGAGGAGGCTGAGGGGCGTTCGTCATGAGCGAGGCAGGACAGCGATCCCGCTGGCTCTCGACCGTTGTCCGCGCACAGGAGGAGGTCCCATGGCGTGCGTCGTGAGTTGGGCGGGAGGAGTATCCGGGGGGGCACCGCTGTCGACCGGACGGGAGGGGGCGGCGCGGTGAGATGGGCGCGTTCTGCGTGCTGGCGGCCACGGCTATGTGAGGGCGACCTTCGGAATGGAGCGTCAGGTGAAGGGTCTCGCCTCGCCGTTTCACGTTCTCGGCTGGGGCCACGACTGGTAGGGCGGGAGTCGGCCGATGGTGAGCGTGAGGGGCGGCGGCGCTTCTTGTCATTCCTAACGGCCTTTGACTTTGTTTTTGCCTGCGCCTTGGCGACTTCCTGTAGCCACTTCTTGGACGCCTGGACGCGCACGAGTGTGGTTCCATCGACGGTCGTGACCAGTGGAATGTTCGCCTGGTCTTCGAGCGGTATTCGACTTCGTCTGGACGCGTGGTTAGCGGATTGAGCGACAAACGGGACCGGTGAAATCTTACCTTCAGTCCAAGGCACTATGCGCAGCGTGTCTTCCTCGTCGCCTCTTTCAGCTTGGCGGCGGCGCCCTTGCGCTTGCCGGCTTGGGAAGGCGTCGCCGCTGCGCTGGTCGTCGGAGCCCTCGTCGTCGGAATCCTTTGCTCCGCCGCCATCGTCTTCATCGTCGTCGGAGTCTTCGACCTGTTTTTTTCCCCCAGCCGGCGTATCAGGGATCCCGTGCCTCTGCTCCATGGCCGGAACGACGCGGCGTGCATCGACGATCGTGAATTTGGTCATCTTGAAGCCCTTCTTCAGCCAGACGCCTCGTCCCGCCATCGTGTCGTCCCAGTTCTCGATTCGGAGCTTGTGCTTGAACCGTAGTCTTCCCATGACGTCCATTTCATTTCCAGCGTCGTCGACGACGCCTCTTGCACGGAAAGCTCCCCGCGTTCGACCTGAATCGCCACTGAGTCCGTATGTCAGTTAAGGCCCAAAAACATCTCTGCACAACTTACACATATCGCCCACCAAACGATCTTTGATGAATTTCCGCAGAGCATCGCGTTCTTTCTCCTGCGTCGGGTATTCCGTATGGCTCGGCCACTGGTTCTGCAGCTGCTTTTTGGAATGCAGCAGAGCAGCGGCGCTGGCTCCATCCAGCTCCATCTGCAGAACACTGGAGGGATGGTGTCAGGAAGGCCTCGAGTGACACAGATCATACGTACTGGAGCGTGGACTCGAACTCCTTCAGCATCGTTCTTTGCTGACTCTGGTATCGCTGCTTCCATAGCTGGAAAGCGGGCGACGCTCCGAATGACTTGCTCCCGCTGTCGATCGAGATGACCTGTCCCAAGACATGTACATTAGCTCCTTGTAAGCTCTTTCGCTCTGTACACGACATTCAATCCCGGTCGATCTTGCGCCAAAAACAAAGAAAGATCCTCACCAATTTGTCGCTTCCCTGGCCACGGCGGCGATGCCCGCTTCCATAACCGCTGTCCTCCGGGTCGCCCAAGAGAGACTCCGCGATTTCTTGATTCCACTCGGCTAGCCATGGTAGCTTTTCGAGGACAACGGCGGTGCTCTTGTGCTCCTCCTCGCTGAGGTCAAACGGCGCCAGCAGCACCGCGTATTCCTCTTTGCAGATGCTGCGCATAAGCAGGTCAGAGTAAGATTGGCGAGATTTAAGTGGTAAACATACCTGTCTTGTCCGACTTGCGATTCCCACCGGTCTCGCTGTAGAACCAGCGCTGATACATATTCCACGCGCTTGTCTGGCAAACCTGCTTCGACTCGGCGCCGACAATCGACCAGAGGACACTGCTCGGCTTGTTTATCTTCACCGCGAGGGCCTCCACCTTGCTGTTGAACTCAGCCTTGTACTCGAACAACTGTCGGCGGGACGCCTGATCCACGGCCCCTGCCTTGTGGCGCTTCTTTGGTGCGTCTTGGCCGTCGGCATCGGCATCGTCGTCGGCATCGTCTGTGGAGTTGTCGACAATGCGCGTTACCGCCTTCCCCTGCTTCGTCGCCTTCCCCTGCTTCGTTTGGCCTTTGGGAATGGGACCGGGCACCTTCTGTTTCCCCTCACGCTTCTTGCGGCGTGCTTCCTCCTCTGCGGCTTCTTTTTCGAACTCCTCCTCGTCCTCCTCGTCTGTGAGCATAACGTGGTCCCGCGGATGCGTCCGACGGTCGTGCGTCACCCGTCGCATCCTCTGCGCCTGTGTTGACTCGTAGTCATCGTCGGTGGCATCGCCCTCGGAGTCGAAACCGCGGCCCTCGTGCTCATCCTCCGCTGTGTCGTTGGGCAGAGGAAGAGACAGCGCGTCGTCCGTCTCGGGGAGGATGTGCATGCGTGCGCCACCGCGGGAGGAGGGGCCTGGAAGGGGGGAGGGAGGCTCTACGTAGCCTGTATCTGTCCTGTCTTGGAATGCATACTCATTGACGTCCATCTCGTCGATGTCCATCGGGAAGTCTGCAGCGGCTCCTGCACCGGTAAGCTTGGGGGGCGGCATTGGTTCCCTTTTCACCCGCCCGCTTTTCACGCAGGGTTTCGATGGCTCCGGCCCAAGCAGACTGAAGTCCATCCTGCGCAAAGGTGCTGCCGGGAGGGCCGGGGTGGAGAGACCGCTGGGTTGCCGCCCATTGACGGTGGCGGTATGGTCAGGGACCGATGGGCGCGACGGTGTCCTCTCAGGTCCCAAACGCGCTCCATCGTGACGCTGTTCCGGCCAGGCGCTCGTGTAATTCGCGCTCGGGCGTCGAGGGCGCATACGCCGCGCTGAGTGTTTTCAAATATTGGGTTACGCCGCTTGAGGGGGCGACGCGGGCGCAGGTGGAGGGGTAGCCAGGCGCGTGTGTTGGAGGTGATGGTGTCGGGTCTTAGTAGGAGGCGGGGATGGGGTCTTGGTAGTAGCAGGCAGCGTTGCGGGGCGCGCACATTCCACCGGCGTCGCTCTTGAGAACGTGGCAGAG